CTTTTTTACCCTTTAACACTTCATATGTCTCCCCTTGTTTCTTTTAACTTCTCTTACGGTTCTGAGAACCTAACTTACTTAAGCAAATCTTATTTTTGGCAACATTGGTGCAAGATAGGAAAGTGTAATGTATTTGTATGACACAACACAGTGTCTAGCACATAGTAGCTGCTTAATAAATGCTTATTTGTACATGGTTGTTTGCATGTCATTTCCCTGAGCTCCTTGAGGGCAGGAACTGTGTTTGCCTTCCTTTATATATTCAGCACTTTACCATGCACCTGGCACATAATAAATGCTTAATAAATAGTAATTGACTTGTTGGTCAATTGGTTGATTAATTACTATATGATGACTCAACAATTCTCTAGGTAGAAGGTAATTTTCCCCTCTAAGATTTAAAATAAAATATTGTTGCTTTTTTCTTGTTCTGGAAGGAAGGAAGAAAGGAAACAAACATTTATCAAACATGCAGGTTGTGCCAAACACTTTACAATTATTATCTCATTTGATTCTCACAACTCTAGGAGGTAGGTGCCACTATCATCCCTATTTTAAAGTTGAGGAAACTGAGTCAGACAGAGGTTAAGTGACTTGCCCAGAGTCACACAGCTAGGAAGTGTCTGAGGTTACATTTGAATTCAGGTCTTCCTGGGTGCAGCCCAGCCCTCTTTCTACTCTACTACCTAGCTGGAGACAGTAAAGCTATACCCTGAGCCAAATTTATGTGAATAATTTAATGTTTCTAGTCCAAGTTACAACGGAACACAATAGAAATGTTGACCAAACATCCCTGTCATTATATTTACCTCAAGATTAACAAATGCTAGTCTTAGTGAATAGAAAGTCAAATAACAACAGTGTTCTTATGTAGATTGAAAGAGTAGATGAGGCAACAGGAGGAGAAACTGATCTTGTTTGCACTTAGAACTATAGATGGGGCCTGTGTTGGCTCCTTACTGATCACAGCCTCAAAGTCACAGTAGCAGAGGAGATCACAGAATTGATATCTCAGTAATGACAGGGTTCACCTACTTGAGCTGACCCTTGAAATGTAGTCTTTAAATCACAGAGAGAAACTGAGAATGGAAAATAGGCACAAAGACTTTGGGCTTAACAGGAAATATCCATTGAACTTTACCTGGGAACGACATGCATCTAAGTGCCAGTGCCAGAGGGAGATTTGGAAGGAAAGACATAGCTGTGGAACACAGTAAGAAAAGCATTGGCCTTGGAATCATGAAACCTGGTTTCAAATTCTGCTTCTGATACGACCTCTATAAACTTTCCTGAGTCCCTTAGCCTGAGGTCTGAACCTCAGTTTCCTCAGTTGTAAAATGAAGGAACTAGATAGCCTCTGGGGCAGCTAGATGGAACAGTGGATAGAGTCCTGGGCCTGGAGTAAGGAAGACTCATCCTCCTAAGTTCAAATCTGGCTTCAGATACTTACTAACTGCATGACACTGAGCAAGTCACTTAATCTTGTTTACCTCCATTTCCTCATCTGTAAAATGGGCTGGAGAAGGAAAGGGCAAACCACTCTAATATCTTTGCAAATAAAATCCTAAATGGGATCACGAAGAGTCAGACAGGACTGAAAAAACAACTGAACAACAAAGACAGCCTTTAAGACACCTTCCTTCAGTCTCTAGAGCTATGATCCTCTTTATGAGATCAAGAGGCACAGTTTTAAGTGAGCATAGGATTTGTCTATAAGTTAAACCATCTATACTACCCCAAAGGTAAGGAAAGATTGATTCAACCAGGAACTGTATGTACTGAGAAAAAATTTAGACCCATCATTTCATTCGTTTGAGATTCACCAGGAGGAGGACCTGTTGAAGAAAAGGAAGGAGAATTTCTGACAATGGACTTGGGTAGAGATTTGTCTGTGTTTTTGTTATTGGATCAAATAAAGTATGTACTTTATCTGCTATCTGAGTGCTTGCAGCAAAACTGAACGTTCTTAGAGAAGAACGAGCCAACTTATGATGTTCCAAGTGGAAAGCATGGTGGCTGCACAAGACATCCTGATGTTTTCAAAGTAGACATATGTGGAAACAAAATATGCCACAGAGATCATTCCTGATAGAGGACCCAAAGGTAAACATAGTTTGTCAGGTCAGGGGCCATGGCCCAATTTATATGTGGTTTACATAAGGATGATAGTAAAAAGGTGGTTCTCCCTCTGAAATACACATTTTCAGGGAAAATTTTGCTTTAAAAAAAGAAAAAAATGACCCAGCAATAGCACTTTTAGGGCTGTGTCCCAAGGAGAGCATACAAATGGGAAAAGGACCCACATGTACAACAATATTTATAGCAGTTCTTTCTGTGGTAGCAAAGAATTGGAAATTGAGGGGATGCCCATCAGTTGGGGAATGGCTGAACAAGTTGTGGTATATGATTGTAATGGAATACTATTGTGCTATAAGAAATGATGAGCAGACAGACTTCAGAGAAACCTGGAAAGACTTGAATGAACTGATGCAGAATGAAGTGAGCAGAACCAGGAGAACATTGTACACAGTAACAACCACATTGTGTGATGACTAACTTTGATAGACTCATCTCTTCTTAGCAATGCAAAGATCCAAGATAACTCCAAAGGACTCCTGATGGAAAATGCTGTCCACATCCACAAAAAGAACTATGGAGTCTGAATGCAAATCAAAGCATATTATTTGCTCTATCTTTTTTTTTCTTCTTTCTTGTGGCTTCTCCCATTGGTTCTAATTCTTCTTTACAACACGACTAATGTGAAAATAGGTTCAATATGAATTTATATGTAGAGCCTATATAAAATTGCATGCTGTCTTGGGGTAGGGGTAGGGGAGAGATGGGGAGAAAATTTGGAACTCAAAATCTTATGGAAGTGAACATTGAAAACTAAAAATAAATAAATTAAAAAAAAAAAGAAAAGAAAACCCCCACAATACATTCTAAACTGATATGTAACCTTAACATTGATGATCAGACTATAAAAAAAATTAGAAGAGATGTATTATATACCTCTTACAGCTTGGATAGGAGATGTATTTTTAATCAAACAAGAGATAGAGGAAATTATAAAAGATACAATAGATAACTTCTATGAAAAGCATGGATCCAATCTTGTCAACACCCTACTCAATAAACTCTGTGGCTCCCTTTTGCCTCAGGAGTAAATACAAAGTGCTTTGTTTGGCATTCAAAGCCTGTCTTAACCTAGCTCTCTCCTACCTTTCCAGGTTTCTTATACCTTACTCCTTGATAGGTACTCCTTGATCCAATGACTCTGACCTCCTGGCTGGTCCACAAACAAGACACTTCATCTCTTCACTCCAGGCATTTTCTCTGGCTGTCCCTTATGCCTGAAATGCTCTCTCTCCTTGGCTCTGACTACTGACATCCCTGGCTTCCTTTAAGTCACAACTAAAATCTTACCTTCTATAGGAAGCTTTCCTCAACCACTCTTAATTTCAGTACTTTCCCTCTGTTAATTATCTCCTCTTTATCCTATATATATATATATATATATACATGTATATATAGCTTGCTCTGTATATTTGTTTGCATGTTGCAAGTTCTTTGAGGGCAGGGACTGTCATTTCCCCCTTTTTGTATGTCCAGCACTTAGCACAGTGCCTGGCACTCAATAGGCTTTTAATATATGTTGACTGATTGATCATATGAAACTGAAAAGCTGCTGTGCAGACAAAATTAATGCACCTAGGATAAGAAGGGAAGTGGTCATTGGGAAAAAATCTTTGTATTAAATTTCTCTGATAAAGGTTTAGTATCCAAGGTATATGAAGTATATATGTACTTATATGTATATATGTACATTTATACACATATACACATACACATTTATGTATATACATATGTCCTCAATTATAAATGTTCAAAAGATATGAAGAAACAGTTCTTAAAGAAAGAATTGCAAAGTATTCACCACCATGTTAAAGAATGTTCCAAATCATTTATAATAGAGAAATGAAAATCAAAACGTACACTCTACAAATTGGCAAAGATGGCAAAAATGACAATGATATTCAATGGCAAAGAGGTTGAGGAGTGATAGGAACACTGATATACTGCTGGTAGAGTTGTGAGATGGTAGAACTACTTTGGAAAGCAATTTAGAATTATGCAAAAAGGTGACTAAAATGACCATACCCTTTGAAGCAGAGATTCCATGACAGAGCTTATAACCCAACGAAGACATCAATAAGAAGAAAGTCCCCATGAACACCAAAATAATTATAGTAGCACTTTTTGAGATAACAAAGAATATCCAAAGATAACAAAATAGATGCCCTTGTTTGAGACAAGGGTAAACAAATTATGGCACATGAATGTAACAGAATATTACTGTGTGGTAAGAAATAATATGTGTGATGCTAACAGAGAAGCAAGGAAAAATCTACATTTACTGAGGAAGAGTGAAGGTAAGGAGAGCCCAGAAAATGATACATACAATAATTAACAACAATGTAAATGGAAAAGTATGGGGACCACACACCAAAAAATCAAAAGCAAATGTGGCAAAATTATAAAGATCAAACAGGACTCAAATTAAAGGATATGAAAAGACATCCTTCAAACTACCCCTGTGTGTAGGTGGGAGGTCAACAGGTGTTACACATTACACATGTATTCAGACTTTTTTTTCCACTATATCCATCATTTGTGTTGATTTTTTTTTTTTGCTTTTTGGTGAGGCAATCAGGGTTAAGTGACTTGCCTAGGGTCACACAACTAGTAAGCGTCAAGTGTCTGAGTCTAGATTTGAACTCAGGGCTTCCTGACTCCAGAGGCGGTGTTCTATCCACTGCACCATCTAGCTTCCCTTTGAGTTGATTTATTTTTCCTCTTCAGAAAATTACTATTTTTTTTTCTATGGGACAGTTGTCTGGGAGGGAGAGGGAAAAGGACACTGGAGATAACTGTGATGATGTAAGAAATAGAAGCCATCAATAAAAACATATTTTTTTTTAAAAAAGGAAACCACATACTTTGTCAGGGCACTTCTTCCCTGACGATCTTCCTCCAATTCCCGATAGCAAGTTTGTTTGCCAATTTCTTTTTCCCAGAAGCTTTTAAGATCATGACAGGTTTCACAGCAGAAGACTTCCCTTCGTATATATTGATTATTCATTTCCTGAAAAAAGAAAAGAAAACCAAACTACCATAGTGCAATTGTTTTAGCAGATTCAACCTCCACCCTTTCTTGTCATGGGAAATGCAGCTTGTGTGAAAAAGTCAGGACAAGTTGTTTTTTTGGCCCCCATAGGAAGGAGGTAGGCTTGTTACATGCAAAAAAAAAAAAAAGCCACCTTCAGATCATCACTAATACCCATCATTGAAACAAACAGGGCAGGCAAGAACAGTAAGATATGAAATAGGTTTGCTTCTGATAGTTGGACAGAACCTGTTCTAGAAAGAATAAGGAGACACAGAAATGACTTGGAGTGAGATGTCCTCTTGTTTTACTGGAAGAGATGAAGTGAACTTAAAAAAAATGATAATTTTTAAAAAATGTAAACTTAAAAATCTTAAAATTATTTTCCATTAAGAAATTCTGTATGTTTGATACATAAATATAATATAAATATAATAAAATTTAGAAGGAAGATTTTACTTTGAAGTGCCTAATTATTTAAGAAGAAAATAGAAACTTGCACAGAAATACATCCCTATTTAATTTTAGAATTTCCTGTTAACTATATTTGGAAGATGCAGTGTGTGCACTCAGTGAGAGGGGTAGTTGCATATTTATAAAACTACGAAGAGTGAACTGAGTTAAAAACAAGTATAAGCTCCATAGGTCTGAGGTCTAAATGGAATCAGTATGTCGAAATGAAATTTAATATATGCTTGGTCTTCTTTCTATTCCCTTGTTTGATTATTATGAGAATCTGTGTTTTTAGGGAAAATTCTGAGTAGGTTGATGCCTACTCTCTCACAGGCTGGTAACATGGGACAACATTTAGAGGAACCAGATGTCTCTTTTTAAGAGATTGGCTTTCTTCCAGCCAGGCTTTTGAAGTCTTGCCAAAGATGTTTTCTGTATCCATCACATTGGCCACTTCACCCTGCTCCTTTTAGATCCTCACAATAGCTCCCAAGGATCTTCACTCACTGTTTTCAAGTTCCCAAGTAGGACCTCTTGAATTTCTATATTTTTCCTTTTTTCTTCCTACTTTTCTATACATTTGCTTTAGAACGCTTCCTCTAATCATCCTCTCCTTCATACTTTAACCAACTACATCCTATGTTATAATACTAACTGATTGCACAGTTTGCCCAACGTATTCTCTTTGTCACTCAAGAAGCTTCTGAAATTCAGTATCTTCTGAGAGGGTTTTTTAGCAGAGTTTATTCTGCTTTCCAGCCCTGCCCCTCACCTGGACATGGAATTCCACCATCTTTTCCACTTACTCCAGTCATTAAAATATTTTCCTTTTGTTTCTATATGATGTAAAATGCATACTTAGTTATTTAGCATATGCGTCTAGTCTCTGTTTCTATGTATTTAAATTCACGACTCCAGAACACTCAAGCTCTCAATCTAGACACCAAGTCTAGAAACATCTCAGGATTGTTATTGAGTTACCTCTACACACAGGAAGGAACACAGAGCAGAAGATGCAACCAGAAACTTATGCCCATCGAGGCAAGCATACGTTCTTGCTTTCATCTGTATACCTCAGAATTATCTGTCTTAATTAGAAATTCATAGACTGTAGGAATTATGCTATTTTCTCATTTTGCTCAATGTTCATAAATGGATCACGTGCAAAAAAGAGTTCTGGGACTTTTTTCAAATGTCAAATTTCAGTGAAAGTGCATAATCACTTATTTGAGTCAACATCCTGGACATCTACCAGTGGCGATCCATTGTATTGGAGCAACTCGGAGCAACAGGTGCAATGAACTCTCATGATCTTCCTTCAGCACTGAAGGATTTGAACTTTGGGTTGATGCAGCAATTCCTTATTGGTCCCCTTGACTGTAGAATTGCATTGAAGAGGATTCACAACTGGAAGAACCATTTATCAGGATATAAATGGAGCTGAGGAAAACCAACTTCCTTTCCCTTCCCTTCACTGGAGCATTTCATTTGGGGTTCAGATAATTTCTTTCTTGGATTTCCAGCAAGGGGTGGGAGAAGGGGTTGCTCATCCCACCTCCATCTACAGTAGTAATGGTATTCAGATATACATCATCCAGAACACATTGGCTTAGGTGAGCCTGAAGTTGGACCTTGGGTCCCTGGGTGCCTCTTCTTTGTGTTCTTTCCCCAGAGCACCGGTAAAGAACAAGCATCATAAGATGGATGTTTCTAGCCTTGGTGGCTAGCTCATGAAATTGTGATCTTTGGAGTTTTAAAGTGGGGTGGGTGCTATTTGCCAACTGGATCACTTTTTAGAAGAGAAGAGCACCATAGGGCTAGAGTCCAAGCAGTATTCTGGCTTGCTAGGTAATCTGGATTTATGAGTTGTTCAGAAAGTACAGGTCAGGGGCAAAAGTAAAATATCTATTGAACCATCCTGCAACATTGCTTTCAGCTCCTGAGAAAGGTGATGATCGCTGTTTCATGTTTTATGTATTGGCTAATGCATGCTTGTAAAATCATTTGTGTTTTAAGCATTTCTTTGTTGGTAGAGGACATAAATAGCTGTCCTATACCTGATACTATTTTGTACATTGCACATTTTTTCTAAAAAGGGACCATCCCTTTTAAGGGAGACAGTAGACATTAGCCATACCTAAGCTTTATTAAAAAGATTTTCCCTGAAACTCTGGCTCCTAGAGAGAATGAGAAAAAAGCCTGACTCCACTGTTTGGTGTCAGACTTCCCCATGACAGAAGAATGTGGTCCATGTAAGTCCTGAGCAGGAGCCCCTTGTGAATGGGGTCGATAATCATTACCATTAATGACTATCACATTAGCCTATTAATGTTAATAAGCTAATGTCAACTTTAATTACATTTGTTGGATAAAGTCTATCATTATCAAGAATACAAGCTCTTCGAGGACTACTTTTCATTAGTTGTCTTTGTATCCCTAGCATTTAGCCTAATGTCCTGCACATAGTAGGTCCTTAATAAATTCTTATTTAATAAATGATTCCATATAACTCCAACAGAAGTTGTCAATTGTTTCTTTAACTTTTGAAGATCTTTCCTATAACGTTTCATAGCTTAACTAGATATTCTGATTAATGTTGAGGCCAGCTGGCTAATTTCTTCTTCAGCAGCAACACTATGAACAATTCCAAATACTTTTCTAAGGAAAATATATTTTGAATCTAGATGAAAAGCTAGATTCCTTCCTTCAGTTTTTTATGTATTATTGATGGCCATCTCTGTATCCTCAAGAAGTAAGATAAACTACAGAATCGATAGCAACTTTAGAAATGCACTTTTAAGGAAATATCAAAATAAGACTAGTGAGCGACAATCAAAGAGATCTACTTCCCCTCTCAAGGTTTTGTGGGAAAACCTAAAGTTAATGAGTTGCTCTTACTGCAATTGCCATGAGAAGAAAAATGTCATAACCTACCACAAAGATTCCACCTGCTTCACAGAATAGCTGTGAAGAAACTACTTTGAAAAGCTAAAAGCATCATGTAAATAAGGTTCTTTTCTCCCAAAGAAGTCAGATCAGCTTGAAAGTGCATGACTTGCTTAGTTCTTTCATCAGAATTTAAGTCACATGGAAGGGGAATAATGGGGAAACAGCTGTGCCTGAGATATAACCATGGCCAATTATCACTTTACAGTCAGAGAGTCGGAGACCATCTGGGCTTTCAGGGATCTCCATAGATCACATCAAGTCCAGGCAAAATGTCTTCTTAACATAACTCTGAACAGCTGTCCTATTTTCAAAGATCTACTGGGTGGAAGAATGCTCTCCCACCCTCATTCATTGGACTTAATGCTATAGGCAAAAAGTCTGGTGTTAAAGTCGAGAGGCTGCATGATATAGGGGAATGAGCATTAGCTTTGGAAGCAGTATTCTTAGATTTAAATCCAACTTTTCTACTTTTTGTCTGTGTAACTTTGGGCAAATCACTTAACCTCTCTGAGACTCGATTTCCTGATTTATAAAATGAAAAAGTTGATCTAGGTTAGTGAAGTGGGAGCCACTATACTGTACATAAGAATACCTGTGGACAGCATATTCACTTAGAAAACTACACGTTTATATATTTCTTTTTTTCTTAATACATCAACCCATTAAAATCAGTTAGGAACTATATTTTAATCTGGTCCAGGATGTACTCTCGAGAGTTGTGGACTGTGTGTAGGTTGCATGCTGACATGTCTTTTCTAAGTGACCTCTCCTGATCCCTTTCAGTTCAAAATGAATGAACCTTTAGCCAGTCCTCACACTGGAGATATAGGAAAGGCATTACAAAGAAGAATGATAAACTAGTTAAAGATGTAGTAGCCTATGCTAGCAACACAGCACAAACAGGCAAAAGGCCTACTTAAAATTGTGGTTACCTAACCCTTATTCCATTTTATTCACTAGATACATAATGCTTTGGGGGTAAAACCTAATTTTAGTGAGTAATGGAGCACTTTAAAACTAAATAGGAGAATTAGAATTTTGAAACCTTTCTTGAGTTTGTAGTAGTTTAAAGTAGTTAGATTGTAAACTACTTGATGTGTTGATTGTGACATCTTCTATCTTCTGGAAAGTGAAAAGTATCTAGGTTTTGTAACTGTTGGGAAAACAGCACAATTGAAGACAATCTTCAAGTATGTCACCTCCCAGTCATCATGCCTAAACTATCTGAGGCAGAGGGATCTTTGTATCTTCTTTTTCTTAAGGATTTATTGATAAAGAAAGAAAATGCCATAATTTCCCTCGACTCTACTATCAACCAACTCTTATACGGACCATTTCTCATAAAAATAATAGATCTCATTAATATGGCACTTTGAGGACTACAAAAAGCTTTATATACATTATCTCATTTGATTATTTAGAAACAAACCAGCCTTACACAGACACTTGCCTGTACCAGTTTATTTTGTGTTAAGTAGAAACATAATTTCACTTGTTGTATTAGCCTTACATGTACCTCTTAATTCCTTTCAGTTCATCCTGCTCTCTCTTCCTACCACTTCCATCATGTCACT